AAAACTATCGAATTTTTCAATCTGACTGTACGTAAAACTTTGATTTTCGACCAATCCAGAGGTCAGTTGGTGAAATTAAGGGCTTATTCCAAATCAAGACGAGGAGGCGAGCTGCCAAACCAACGTGTGCGGTAAGTGGAGCATCGATGGCTGTAGAACATGAGCAACACCTACAGAAGGGTTGAGCGTGCTTGTGGGCATGTGGCTATCTTTCTTGGGAAGAGTGCTGAAGACATTGTTCTCTAACAATTGTGTTGACCCTACAGTGGTGTTCATTTTCAGTTTTGGGCAAAAATTGTGGTTCTAAATGATTTGGACCTTGAGCATTCGGGTGTCGAGTATCATTTGTGCATTGCTAAAGTTCTAAGGTGAACAGTGGTGGCTCTAAAGCTATAAATTCACATCTTTCCTTATTTATGAATCCATAGATTTGGTCCGCTTTGTAAATTGACATACTTTTTAAGAAATTCAATACTAGCAGCCCATCTTGTGAGTTGGCCATTAGGATTGGGGTTATCGTGTAGGGTAACATTGCCTATTGCTAGAATCTAGAAATTATTTACCTTGTTTAAAATGTTCAATATTTCTTCGATGAAATTTGATAATTAATTATTTGATATAATTGCTAACTAAGTCACTGTGTGAGACATACATTGTGTGAGGAATTGTTTTGTTAAAATACCTCCATGTTGTATTAATTATTTTGTCGGAACATTTGAACTTTACCCGTTTAACCATTCTTTTGAAACTAAAATCACGAATCTCACCAAACCCTAAAAGTCTAGAATGGTATATAAGGTGATACTAGGACTGCTTTATGTGTTCTAATTGTATATTTGTATTTTTTGGTTAATCAGTATCCAAAAATATATACACATTTTGAATTGAAGGTTTTCAATGGAAAATGAGATTTTGCAATTTGGCAATAAAAAATGAAAGGAATTTTAGTTCAACGAAAGATTTTAAAAGTTATAGATGGCAATTTTTCTGTTGATTTGTCAAAAAGACAAAAGGAAAAATCTAATGAACTTGCTTACAATTTGATTATTTTACACTTGTCAGATGTTTTGTAAAAAGTTAGTAAACTTCAAAACCGCAAAAGAATTTTGAAAAGAGTTGAAAGACATATATTTGCTTATCTACTCCTAACAAACTTTACTTACTCAAGAGATTTTTCAGTTTTGAAATAGATCTTATAAAAGATCATGATAACAATTTAGATATTTTTAACAAACTTGTTCAAAATATTGTTAATTGTAATGGATCTATTTTCGAAACCTACATAACCATGATTTTGCTTAATTCCATGCTCGACACATATAAGGAGGTTAAAATACAATTAAGTATAGTAAGGACATTTTAACATCTAAGATTGTAATAAATTTTTTTAGGAGTGAAGAAATGGAGATTAAGACTAAAGAATTGGATAGGATGAGTGGTGAGGTACACATGATGAGGAATATAACACACTTTAAACAAAACAGTCATGCAAGAAATTAAGACAATGGTGACTCGAGTAATGAAGATGATAAAAAAGGTAGAAGTTTGGATAAGTGTTAGTCTTGTATAAGTGCTAACAGATGTTATTGTGTGCCATTTTATAAGGGTGGTAAAATTGGACATTTTATAAGGGATGTCCTAAGAAGAATGATAAGCAGAAAGAAGTGAGATGAGGCCAATGTTATCACTAGGTCTAGCTACAACCTGAGTGAGGTTTATTGATATTAAACTTAGTTATTGTATGTGCATCTGTGTGAAATTTTATTTGCATGAACGATTGATTGATTTGGTGCATTGTTCTATGTTACATTTCATTATGTTTGATATGTGCATTTATATAAATATGAGAGTGATCTTAATACAGTTTGTAATGTGTTGCATACATAGTGGTTGGGATTACTATTAGGGGTGGGCATGGGTTGGGTTAGGTTAGGTTGGGTTGGGTTGATTTTTTCCCCAACCCAACATGGTCGGTTTTATTTAAAATCAACCCAACCCAACCCAATTAATGGTTTAAATCCAACCCAACCCAACCAACCCAAGTCGGTTTGGGCTTCGGTCCAATTAAAGTTGGATTCGATTATATTTTTGTTAAATTTAGATAAATTTTCAAAGTTTGAAACTACTTGAAAATCTCTGATTATTTTTTTTTTTTAAATACCTATGTAAGGAATTCTTTTTGAAAAATGATGTATAAATAAGTTTAAAATTTATGAAGTATTTATTTTTATTATTTTTTTTTTACAATTTTTGGGATTTATTTATTTCATCATCATCTTCTTAATTTTTACTTTGTTATGAAATAAAATTTTATTTGTAAATTGTGTTCATAGGAATCAATTTATATTAAAAAAAATGGACGTTTATAAATTATAAGTCCTTTTCATATCTTTATTATTGTGTTTATTTAGGTTTTTTTTTTCATCTTAGATATTATTTTTTTTAATTCATCTGATTGGGTTGGGTTTTAAATCATAACCCGAAACCCAACACAACCCAACCTCAAATATATTTTTTCAACCCAATTCAATTGAACTTAAAAAGCCAACCCAAACCGATCGAGTTGGTTTGGACTGAACGGGTTGAATTGGGTTGGGTTGGGTTGGGTTGGATTTTGCCCTGCGCTAGAGGCAAGATGTGAGGGAGTTAATATTTGGGTAATGCAAGGAGAGAAGATTTTGGGCCGTGGACTTTTTAATAAATCATATTAATATAAAAAATTATTTTTATTTCATAGCATTTTCAGCAATAATGATATATTTGATTTTATAAAACGTATAATCTCTTGTAGTGTGAAATGAAAAAAGAAATAAAAAAAAACATAGAAGAAAAAGTAACTAAAAGGAGAGAAAAAAAAAGAAAAAAAATTGTCAAAATAACTCAACTCCTACAGCCATAAATGAAAAATCTCAATCATTCTTTATCACCATTGATTATAGGGGATGAATATGAGAGGAGTCGTTGATATGCTGGATGTGCAAAAAATGAAATTGATGGGGGGAAAAAAGAGGGGGAAAGAGAAAATTAGAGTTGAAAACAAAAAAGAAACTAAAAATTTGGGAAAATTAGGAGGGAAAATGAAATAATTCGATTTTTTGTTCTTTAAATTAAATCTATTAATATCTTATTAATTAATTAAATAGTTTTGTATTTTTATAAAATACCTATTAATATTTTATATAATTTTGTTATTAAGATTTATGATCAAAAAATCGTCGACATAAGTTCTCGTTACCATAAACTTTCAATGACTAAAAATAATCGGTCGTTGAATGTCATCATCAGTGACTAATAAAGAAATAGTCGTTGAATGTCGAACTTTCCTTTAGTTACAACAACGACATAAAATTAGTTGTTGTTTTACTATATTAACAACCAAAAATTATGGTCATTAAATATTTTCTACATTATTTGTATTTCTAACAACTAATGTTGTAGTCGTTGAACATGAACAAATATTTTTTGCGGAAATTTAGCTCTGACTTACAACGAGTAAATTTAATTTGGTCGTAGAAAATATAGGAGTAACAACTATGTTTTTGGTCGTTATATGATATTTCCAACTAATTCAATATTTGATTGTTCGTCATCAATTTTTTACGACCAAGCTTATAATTTCGTCTTTGAAAATATTTATTAACGACTAGATTGATTTGGTCGTTAAAACATTAGTTTATTAAATGTCATTTTTCTTGTAGTAATTTGCATTGAGGATTTGCACTTATATTTGGGGTTTTAAACAAATTTTTTTTTTTTTTTTTTTTTTTGGTGATTGATATTGATTTATAGTTGAGACTGAGTTCGATTTTGTGCAAGATTCGAAGTAATTCCACGACAAAATGTAACTGCAAAATTTTAATTTCTTTTCTTTTTACTATTTTCCACCCAATGTCATTAAAAATTTCTTTATGGTTATTGTTGGAAACCCAATGGTTCAGCAAACGCTGTGGAAACAAAAATGGAAAAAAAGGACAAACTGAAAAGAGCACAAATTAATGTACTTTAGCAAACCGCCAACAAGGGTGCATTTACTGTGGTCACTACCCCCACAATAAATTTCAAATATTTCATTTTGCCCAAGATTTTTTCAAGATTTTCAAAAAAGTCCTTATAACTTTTAAATTTGGTCCCCACAATTATTTTTTTCTGGCCCACCCTTGACCGTCAATAAGGACTAGAGAAAGAAAATCAATTAACTCAATAAAATTCACATTAGAAGAGTTTTTTCACTCTCAACTTTGTCCAACTCCTAACTAGAACGCTTGGAACAAAAGTATAACACCTAGAATTGCTTGAACTTATTCTCTCTCAATTTCACAAGCTATTTCTCAAACGTGAGAAGCTCGTACTTTCCTTCAACCATCCATAAATCTGTTTATCAAACCATCTAATTTATAATTGATTTGTAAGTAATTATTACCCTGACGAGCACTTGGTAATATAAGCAATAATGATTTCGTACACATTCAAAGATTTTTTGATTCTACGAATATTGAATTTACATTGATTCTTAAAAAGAATGCTGACCTATGATAACAATATGAGAAATCTTTCAGTTTTGTTAATAACAAGATTTCAATGGAACCCCTATTTGACAAAGCTTGTTGGAATTATGAGCTTACGAAACTTTATTTTTAATCACACAATTAATTGATTTCACAACTTTTTAACCACATTTTTTTTTTCAATCATAACAAATAACATTCAATGTATAACTTATTGAAATTATTTAAATTAATATATTTTTATTTTTTGTAAAATATATTAATAATATATATTAAAGCACGTACGACGTTAAAAATGTGTTTGTAACTAGATTATAAACTATTACGTACTAGTAGTAAAAACTACTACAAAACATACTTTTTCTGTAGTTGTATAAAGCATGTTTGGTTAAGCTTATATGTGACTTAAAAGGTGCTATTTTAATATAAGAAGAATAAAATATGATCAATACCGAGTCAGAAGAAAGCATAGGACCAAATTTGTGCTGCCGGAAAAAATTTCAATGACTAGTTCATGACCAAGATTAATCAACTCTACGAATGCCTCAACCTCAAGAACTGGTGCTTGCAATCCAATATGGTAGATACAAAAATCTGGAAATGTGTTATTCATTTGGACTAGGACTAAGAGGAAGCCAATATATTATTGTCTCGTTCGTCAAAACAACACACAAAACATTCGAAAATTTAGCATGGAGAAAGTCGAGCTTCTAATCTTCATGATAAAGATACAAGCCAAGGCCAAACCGAGCACACGCTCTGCAAAATGCTATTTCTTCTGCTGCAGCAACGGGATCTGTGATATCTCCCTCACCGGGTGATACTGTTCCAGTCGATTCACGATGTGCCTGCATCATTCATTTGCTGTTATCATTAGAAACCAACTAAGAAAAGCTCAATGGGAGCAGATGAATCGTACAAATAGAAAAAAGAGGCAAATCGGTTAAAGCATAGTACAATATGATTTCGGTTGTCCACCTTGCCTATGGGTACAGATGGATGATTAGAAGAACATTTCCAAGAAACTCTCTAAAATAATGCTTAATGAAGATACAGATGAATGATTAGAAGAACATTTCCAATAAACTCTCTTAAAGAATGCTTAACGAAGGCCCAGATTATAATTTTAAAAAAGCAACTGATTTTGCACTAGTAACAAAGAAGATGCCCCTTCTACAGATGATTACTGGAAACACCACCAAACCCTCCAGACTGCCTAGTGTTTTATGTAAAAAATACATACAAAAAATTTGAAATATGAGTTACGAGTAAAGATGCCATAGAAATGCAACGTCTACAGTCTCATCTTATCTAAAAGGCTTCCACACTATTATCAAGGACAGCTAACAAAGAAGAAAAATCTGAAATTTCACTATCCGGCAAATTACGAACAAACTGAAAGTTTCAACTTATTGTTGACATTTAATCGGAACATTCTCTAAAAATGAAATGCTGTAGAATCTGGGGAAAAAGCAATAGAACCTGAGGCAATCGACACCCCTTTTCCAGAAACAATTCTTATTTGCTGCTCCCAGAACTCATTTTGTGAGATAAATGTAAGAAAAAAGAAACTACGATAAAATATTTAATGGGGTTCTGAAAGAAGTCAAAATCGTTCTAGAGTTCCAACCATTTGTGTTCATTACATTATTTGCTCCAAAATCCTACCCCACAAGGAAGAATATGCTAAAGGGAATCTCCAAGGCCATTTCCTAACACAGCCATGTTCCTCATTATGAGGTTCCTTAACAAAGCCAAGGGATATGATCTATAGCTCGATTTATAAAATTTCATGCCCTCGGTCACAAACGCTATCATAATTTGACTTGACGCAGTTTTGGGTGACTTGAAACAACTGAAGCTTTTTACGTTTCTACAAGTTCACCTAGTTGGAAAGTACAAAAAGCAGGACTAAGTCCAACAGTTTCCCTTCTTCCCTGCCCCTACCCTGTCCACAAATCAAAAAGTCACCATCCAACACCACCTGCAAACATCAATCACTATCTTATGACTTTGAAAGGTAAACTAACCTAACACTTCTCCAAATATGTCACCCCCCATTACGTACTAACATGAGATTGCTAAGGGGACAACATTTATGTCCACCCATGTACATCATGATATAAAACCCTTTTCATGGGTTTTAACACAATATTGATATCCGTTGAATTTTTATGAGAAAGAAAATCTATACTTTACAGCTCAAGCATGGTTAGTGTCTTCCGAATAGCACTGACTATGCATTGTCAATAGCTTTCTTTGGTTGAGACGATTTAGTATTAACTAGGGCTGGATTGTGAATTAAAAAAATATGGCAGATTTAGCTTCCCAGGAGTAAAAGACATCTAAGGAGATCTAGATTTCATACCTAAGTTTAGAAGTAAACAGTTTTAGTTCAAGAGTTCACATCAACAAACAAATTTCAACGATGATTGTCTTATATAGTCTTTTGAAAACATTGAGTAGCATCTTCCATTTATTCCTGCTTGTGGTCTGTTGTTTTATGTGAGGGGTTTGTTTTTCAACGATGATTGTCTTATATAGTCTTTTGAAAACATTGAGTAGCATCTTCCATTTATTCCTGCTTGTGGTCTGTTGTTTTATGTGAGGGGTTTGTTTTTCAACGATGATTGTCTTATATAGTCTTTTGAAAACATTGAGTAGCATCTTCCATTTATTCCTGCTTGTGGTCTGTTGTTTTATGTGAGGGGTTTGTTTTTCAACGATGATTGTCTTATATAGTCTTTTGAAAACATTGAGTAGCATCTTCCATTTATTCCTGCTTGTGGTCTGTTGTTTCATGTGAGGGGTTTGTGCTGGCAGTTTCAAGAAGCACTGGAGTCTTCCTTTATACAGGAATAGCTTCTGCAGCAATCCCCGAAGAACCCAGGAATGTGAACTCAAGAAGAAGAAAGATTACATTGGAATTAACCAGATGGAATGATTAAAGGCTCGAATATAACAACTGGTGATTATAAAGTGGATAATGGAAAATTGCAGAATAGATGAATATGAAAGGTTAAGCTCAAGTCACTATATCTTTTTGACAACTAACTCAGGCACAAATTAGCTGTTTTTCCCTAGAAAAGCTTAAAGATCGCATTAAATTGTTTTAACTGAAAAATAAGACAAGTACCTACAATCGAAGAAGTAAATATAGTAATATAAAAATTACTAAGGTGGCAGAGGATTGCATGTAACGAAACCATACCTCTCCATCCAAACCTCGTACAGTTACACGGTACACCACAGTCACACTTCCGTTGTCAGCGAATATAACATCGCGTATTTCTCCACACCAGCCTGCAAAAACAGTGTTAGACTCCTTTTATTATGTTCCTATATATTTTCCTCATGTTCAAATGTGTGATTAGCATATAGGGAAGTTTTCGAGGGAAAGGACATTATCATACTAAGTTCGAGGGGAGAGAGTAGGAGACAATACAGATATTGATGTTGGAAAATTCTATCACAAACAGGGCAAAGAATTATTTCTTGTTTAAATTAGAACTTTTTATTTTTCTAGGTTTTTTATTCCTTTTTTATAAGGCTTTAATTACTTAACTTCCATCAGCTATTAGATTAAGAGATTTTTATCTATATAAACAAAGGCCTTTTAATCATTTCAAAAAACCAACTCAATACAATAAATTATTTTCTACGAATTTTCGAGTTTTTCAACTTTAGTGAAGAAAGAACCAAAAGGCCATGTACATTCACTTTTGGTGGGGTGTAGGGGTAAGGAACAGGGCAAGAGGTTGGAAATTCTTTAAAGAGAGAGGCAAGGCCCATATAATATGGTTAACATCAGCAATTGGTATGATTATATGTGGTTTTCAAGACTTTGGCATACGAATCTGTTGTTAAGTGATTTGAAGGTGGTTGAGAACAATAAGATCCAACAAAGCATTTCGAGGTTGAATAAGATCAATAGCACCACCACCACATACTACCATCCTTGAACCAAACACTAGTGTGTGAATAAGAAAAATATTTTCACTTAAAACAATATTTACCATCAAAATGTTTCCAACTTACAAAATTCTACATTCCACCAAATGGAGCTTAAACATTATGGGTTCTTCACCGCCTCACTAACCGACATGTTTTCCATCTCGCAATTATTACACTTCAAAATAAATCTTCTATAATGTCCGTACTTATAAACTGTGGGTTTTTAGCCTTGTCAATATCCTTTTGTGAGTCTTATATTAAAGAATTTATCCAGAGTAGTCTCCCAAACACAATGAAAAAGGCCCTTGACCGGGGTGGCTTTGAGTTAAATATAATCATCAAAAGTTCAGCGCTAGGGCATGAGTATAGGTTTATTATTAATGCCAAGTTAAAAAGAACTTGATCAGATGTCGAAATTACTAAGCTCATAAAGTTATGTAGAATCCTCTATAAAGGACAGACATATAGAACAATTTTTTTGGGCTTAAATCATTTGGATGGGGTTTCCAGGAGAAAGAAAACAGAAAAGCTGATTTAATTTTGTACTTCAAAATGAAAACAAGAAAAAAGGCTTACAAAAAATAAAAATAAAAAATTACATTGACTTGTAGTTAGCCATTGACATTTCATTTATTTCAATTACATTCAGAAAATGAGAGAAATTACTGTTCTCCAATTCTCATCTCTACTTCCCCTTATTTCTCAGTTACAGAATCCTGAACTTGAAGTCTTATATAAGGGAAAAAAGGGTACTTCAAAGATATATCAGGTAAAATCTAGTGCAGTTAATATCAAAAGAGAAGGAAATAAACTGCACCTGGAGCGTAAAAACTCAGCATGCGGTTGGCCTGGTACCTAGACAGGCGAACAATACCATCATCAAATCAACAACAAAGACTCGCAGCAAATATTATACTAGTAGCATATAAACTAGAAAATACACGCCACTAAAGAATAAAAATGTAAAAATAACTGGTAAAATTTCATTCATACTTACCAGGGGATAAAGGTGGAATGATCATCCTGAGTCTTGACAATATTATCAGGGATCTTCTTGTTGAGGTCTCGTAGGATCTCGGCAAGGGGGCGAGTGATGCAGGAGGACTTGTCCAAAGGAACAACGTAATTCAAATTAGGGGTCGCCGCCTTCTTACTGCTATTTTCGCCGCCACCAATACTGTTACGGTCCAGCGCTGACATACGGATCTTCAGTGTCCTCGAGGGAGAGTTAAAACGAAGTTCAGCCGTCACCAGCCTTTGATTTGGCGACCAAGCCGCCGGAAAGCAGACCTCCGTCGCCGACAGTGCACAATTAGGCAAGTGTACAGCCATTTCGGACAGTCACCGCTACCTAACACAGTTGTATCGGACCGAAGACTATCTACCATTCTACCCCAATTAGTACCCATTAGTTTTATTGAAATTCCACCAAATACCCTAAGGTTTGCTTAATATAGTTGTTCGGTTTCCATTCTTATCTTTTTGATATATGAGTCATTACCTTTATAATTTTCACCAATTTTGTCCTTTTGACTTTTTATGCATGTGACAATCGATTATTTAAATAAATTAATGACACTAGTCCCATGTTCGGTAGGAATTAAAATTAGATTTTTAATAAATTTTAATAAAAAAATGATAAAATACGTGATCAAAAGTTGCGAATTCCATAATATATGTGATTAAAATTAATTTTGACTATGACTAAAATATAAAGTGTAGTCCCTGTGAAACAGGAGCTACGTAACACGTGTTATTAATAACAAAAAGATGTTGTGAAGAAGGCTAAGCCCAATGGTCAAAAATTAAACATAAAAATAAAACAAATAGAGAAAGAAAGCAAGAGGGAGGGAGAATTGAGTATGATGAATGCAAGAAATGCATTTTGTCGTGATCTTGTCCAGCTTCACACGCATGTTATGTTGTGAGCTATTTAGGGTCCGTTTGACATGATTTTAAAAAATCAAAAGGAGTTGTTGAGATTTTGAAAAAAAAAAAAAAAAATTGATTAATTTGATGAAAGTGCTTCTTATATTTAGAAAATGTTCTTCTAAAAACTCTTCGGGAAAAATAAACTCTTCTATAACCTAATTTTCAAACATCGATTAAGGTAGCTCTCTCGAGAAAACAAAAGTAAAAACAAAACCTTACAAATGGGCTCTTAAGACTCTCATCATTTTTATTCAAGGTTGATTGTACAAAGTTACCATCTCATCAAACTAGATCCTTTATATCGTCAAGATCAAGTCTAGGATAGAAAAATATCGTATCTAATCTAAAATCACATTGCAAATGAAATATTTCATTTGTGAGCTTTCATTGCCTACTACCATGACATCGATGGTGGATTTGCTTAGAGTTTGTTTGAGACCCATTTTTTGGGGAAAAAATTATTATAATAAGTTTTAAGATAATATGTGGTGAAAATGTAGGAAAAAAAACTTGAGGATTACGTGTAAAAATATTTTATGGAGAGAATACGTATTTGAAAATAAATTTGGAAAAAATAAAGTTTTAAAGAATGAGACTCAAACATGGTTGAATTCTCATCTCAACTGCTTAATCGAAACCTCTACCCAACTGCCAAACAAGAATTTAGCCAATTTTTTAGAAAAGATTCTACATTCAGATCCCTTCAATATTTTGCCACTTCCAAATTTTACCTGCAAATTTGTCCCTGAATTTCAGAAAAGGCTTAGATCTAAAATTGCATGAATGGGCTGGGTTAAAATCCTAGACCCTTTATTATACAACACAATTAAATTCATGAATGGGATTTGTTTCTTTGAATTAAATGCTTGTTTGCGACAAGCCGACAATCGCGGTAAGAATTTTGACTGGTTCACACAATATTTTCTTGTGTCTATTCATCTTGATTAGAACCTTGCTCCATGTCCCGACTTGGGGACAAGGTTAAAAACATGTGGCGCCCCTATTTTTAAACCTGTCCCAACTTTATCCTCTTGATTATCATCTTGTTTTGTTTTGGTCAAGGAGTAGCAAAAGTTTAAGTTTGACGTTTATTGGGTCTTTTACGTGATATGTTAGTATTTCGAATTGGATTTATCTTACCTTTCTCTTATTTTTCTTGTTTAGGAGGAATCTCAACCTTTGATATTTTGATTGTGAAATTGATGAAAAGACACAAGAAAAGAATACTTTTGAGTGCATTAGAAGAAAAAGTGCAAAGAAAGAAATACGTTTGTTTAACACCCTTTATTCTACCAAATTTATTTTTTACAACAATGTAATGAGCCCTCATCTGCAGAATGATGTATTCAAGTCGACAAGAATGTGTTGTTTATTAATTTTATGATATGTATCTTTCCAATTTTGCCCTTAGATAAATGTCTAGTTACCAATCGAAATTGGAGAGAAAGATTGACGGGCAAATAAGTAAATTTCATGACATACTGAGAGCAAACACGGTATTTAGTGGTAAATGTATGGACTTTTCATTTTGTGTTAGGTAAGTCGATTGGTTTTTCTGCTTGCCAATAATACCTTTACTATTACAAAAATTAATTGGGAAAAAATCAAAAGTCAAGGGCTACGTATCACAAATTCAATTTTCAGGTGGCAAGTTTTAAAATGAAAAACTAGGGTATTAACTAATTAATTTAAAATATTTATTAATTACATTTAATAAGGCCACAATTATACAATTAATGGTCATATATACATAATTATAGATCAAAACTTTTTTACTGGTCACATATTATTAAATTAATTGGTCACAAATTATTTCGACGTTACAAATAAAAAATTTTGTAGATCACAGATTATTTCGAAATTACAAATAAAAAAATTTATAGGTTACGGTTTATTTCATTGATTACAAATCAAAAAAAAAAAAAAAATTACAAGTCCCAGATTTTCAAATTTGTTGTTAACAAATTATATTTAGTCACATGTTATCAAATTTGAAGGTCACCGTTTATCTACTTTTATTATCCCATCCCCTCCTAACTTCCGCGCCAATTCCCCTTCCACGGCCAGCAGGCATGAAAGGGCTGTTCATAAACTGGTCCATCATATTCAGGACTTGGCTCAAACTTCTATCAGGAAAGAAGGGATCAAAGGCATCTGAACAAGAATTTAAAAAAAAAAAAAAAAATTTGAGTCTATCTCAACAAATGAGAACAAGAAATCTCCCACTAAATTATACTTAGCCCCCGTTTGGCCCCCATTTTGTAGAATTGAAAATGGGTGAAATAATATTTTTTTTGAAAAATAAGTGATTAAAAAAGAAGGAAAAGTTTTCGATTTACGTGTAATATTATTTTATAAAAGATTGTATGGTTGAAAATAGGAGAAAGAAAAATGTAATGTAATGTAATAGAAATTAATGAAGGCCAAACTGGGGCTTAAAAAGAGGAAAAATTTCCCACCAGAGTAGAAAGTTGGAAAATTGTCATGATGCCGAGTGACGAAACTATTAGAACGGCGATCAACATCGACTATCCGATGATGCTCATCATAAGTGGTCATCTGAGTGTTAGTATTGTAGAAGCGTGTTATAGAGGGAGCCACTGAACAGACTCTATCGGGGAACAAGAGTCGGTTGAATAAAACCACGTCACCGACAACTCTTCTTAGAAGAGTGAGTGAAGAAGCCATTGTTGAACTGTGGGAGCAGAGATTTAAATGATCACCACAACCTCCACAGGTCGGAAAGAGAAAGAATAAAAACCCCAAATTGTCGCGCGATGCTGAGTTAACGGACTGCAAAAATCGATTCGCGCCAAATCTCCTTCGTCGAGTTTTCAATCGTCTGGCGCATCTCCTTAGTCGTCAATTGCCAGAGTTTGAATGGGTCGTGGCGTAGAAGAGAGAGGACGGAGAGAAAAGAAGAGAGAGGTAGAAATGAGGGAGGAAAAAATTGATTTAGGGTTAGGATTTGTATTATATTGATACCTAATTTGTGAAAAATGAGACTTTATCCCTAGATTTTGAATTATCATCTTTAAACCTCTGGAATTATGTAATTTCCTCAAATTAAATTGGGGGAAGAAAGGGCATCAAACGGATGCTAAATGATAGGCCCAATGAGTGGAACGCGTGGGGGAACTAAATGAGGAAATTACAAGAGTTACTTCATTTAAAAAAATATTTAAAATTTACATTTCAACCCTATTGTACCTTCTTCAAATTCTACTAATTCACCTGCCATTTCTTCATCAAGACCATGAATACAAGCAATGTCATCGCCTACTTGAAGTACGGTTACAAGTATTTACAATCTTTACTTCTCTGTTATATTGTTCAATACGTTCACGAATAATATTACTAATTTCGTCAGTTCGAATGGTTACCATGAGTATTTCTTAATTATTTTTTATTTTTAAAAGAAAAAAAATAATGCCTATAGTAGAAAAACTAATCAGTTATTTCTTTCATCGCCGCATGGGGGAACTAAATGAGGAAATTACACGAGTTACTTCATTTTAAAAAATTATTTAAAATTTACATATCAATGTGTTTATTATCATATATACTACAATAATGAAAAGTAAAAAATGAACAAAAAACACACTGTATATACAGTGGTACCTTATTTCACGCCTTCCAAACAGCCCCTCTAATTGATACCAAAAAATTCCCCAATGGCATTGTATTAATCAACGAGTAAATTTAACCAATAATCACTGAATTTTACACTTGATTACTACTTGCTCACTCATCTTTCACATATTACTGAATGCTCACTCATCTTTTCATATAATTACTCATTCATCACTCGTCTCTTCAAATAATTGGGCGACGGCAAATTTTTGACAACTCCGACCACAAAAAATGTCGAATTTTGATACCGTTGGAAAGCCCACGATGTCTTCTTCAATTACCATCCAAAATCTCATTATAACTCCAAGGAATTCGATCGAAAAATTGCCTTAAAATTTGCCCAAAATTTTTGAAAATCTGCCCAGATTTTCAGATTTTTTGATGACTTTTAAGGCAATTTTTCGGCAACTTTCGACCATCAAAACTATCGAATTTTGATACCATTGGAAAGCCCACAATGTCATCTTCAATTACCATCCAAAATTTCCCCATAACTCCAAAGGGTTCGATCGGAATAAACCCACAAAATCAGCATCTTGAAAAGGCGAAAATCTGGACAAAGTTCGGGATGCTGATTTTGTGAGTTTATTCCAATCGAATCCTTTGGTTCACGAATAATATTACTAATTTCGTCAGTTCGAATGGTTACCATGAGTATTTCTTAATTATTTTTTATTTTTAAAAGAAAAAAAATAATGCCTATAGTAGAAAAACTAATCAGTTATTTCTTTCATCGCCGCATGGGGGAACTAAATGAGGAAATTACACGAGTTACTTCATTTTAAAAAATTATTTAAAATTTACATATGTGTTTATTATCATATATACTACAATAATGAAAAGTAAAAAATGAACAAAAAACACACTGTATATACAGTGGTACCTTATTTCACGCCTTCCAAACAGCCCCTCTAATTGATACCAAAAAATTCCCCAATGGCATTGTATTAATCAACGCCACAAGTCCTTCACTCATTGAAATCTCCAAAAATCACCACGTTCTACGTTTCGTTTAAAGAAACCCTCAATTCATATTCAATCAATATTTTCGAAACTGGAGTTTCACAAAACCTTATTTCTCGTCCATTTTCCAATTATTCTCACATTATCTTGGGTGATTCTAGGGATTTATTGTCAATATAAAGCTGTGAGGTTGCTATTCTTCTCCAAAAAACCTCACAATACTAGTTTATATTCAAATCAAGGTTGAAGCACTAATTGATTTCTGCATATTCGAGTTACTGCTCAGAAATGGATACGAACAATGAAAGATGCCATGTGAAAATGATTTCTCAATCTCAAGAACCAGCCGTCGACTATCAAGTACATACGGGACATGAAGAATACACCCATAACGAAAACCAGTAATAAGAGTCAAGATACGTATAGACGTTGTTGATTCTACATAGAACAAGAAAAAGATGGTGCAACAACACGAACCAAGGGCGAGTTTTTTATTGATTTATTTATTTTTCACATTCCCCTTTTTTCTGATTTTCCATGTCACCTCTTTTTCAAAATTATGACACCTTGTACTTATCGATTGGTATTCAAGATGTGAAATGTATTCGTTTATTTAGGTTGTGAGCATATTTTACATTGTGCACATATGGTCAATGTAATGTTACCCCCACATATATCATATGTTCGGATATAGGATTCCAGATTGCACTTTCCATGAGGATATGAAATAACTGCAGTTCAAGATTCACTAAATATCATTTTTAAGTTAACATGGTTTGTAAGGATCGTAAAAAATTGATTCTGTTGAATCTATTCGTAACAATGAATTGAATAAGTTGCCTTTGCATTTTAAAGTCCTATTCAATTTGCAAAGAGAGGCCCTAACGAGGACAGGACTAGCTACTTTCTTGAAGGTGCAACCTTTTCTGTCCATGTCCATCTCAGAGCCTATCCCATCACGGGGAAGGTCCCATAGTCAGTAGCTCGATTCTTTTGATTTTTTCTTCATAGTAAACTGATGGGGAGATGCGGAGCACTAGGTCGAATTACCATATGCTTCTTGCTTTTCGCGAGCAAGAAGCGCCAACTTACTATGTTGCTTATTGTTCTTTGAGATGCTCCTCCCCGTCGATCAAGGATTTTGATTCTCGTGATAGGCTTAGCTTTAAGCCGTTAGCGTTCGGTTCGGATAAGTCAAGTCTCTTCGGTTGTTGCGCTCAGGTGGTCTTCTCTTATCTTCCCTTACGTTCAGAGTTGTTCTGGTTTGAGATGAGAAAGGAGCACCGGCCGAGCGCCATGAATGAATAAGAAATTGACAGCAGAGAGAATCAATGATTCTTATTCGACTGAGTTCTAGCTAGCAACATGTCGATTACATAAATTTGCATGCTATTATCATTCTTTTGAGCTTGAAAATCAGCTCTTGTGATCTGCTGGTGCTTCTGGGACTAGTCCAGCAGATCATTGCCAGATACTAAAACAAATGACTAGATTTCAAATTGTGTATTTGGTTTTAAATATCAGATTTAACGTTTCAACTAAATTTGTTGTCTACGTATGATACGATTTGAACATTGCACTCATCATATTTGATATGTGTTAGTGTCTATTATTTGCTCGACTATTACATGTGTGTATCCATTGGTTATATTAATAGTATTGAATTGATACCCTGCAGTTTATAACTTTTCTTCTGATTTGATTCAGCCACCACTGCAATTCATAAGTGATCATGTTGATCATAAACCAAAAAGTACACTCCATGACAGAAAACTTTGATGCAAAGAGATCAAGAAGCTACTTTGCTGCACAACTTTACAAAGGATTGGGTTTGGGCCTTTCCTGCGCAGCTTAGATGGAAGGCGAAGAAGGCCTCCTTCCGAGGGGATTCTGACTTGGCTCCACAAAGCGTGAGGGGAAGGAAGAGCAAGGAAGGGAACATGACACCCAGTTTTAGTGGTAGCTTATGTTAGTTTAGGCATATATATTTCAATCATTTTCTCTGAAAACATTGTCATTGTACACAGGTTTAAGCTATTTTGTGGTGTACGAACTATGTCATTTTGATTGGGAAATGTCGGTGAAATTTGACATTGATTTCATGACGCTATGGAAGGATGGTCGTTTATTTTGGTGTCACTGTAATTGATGTTTGTCCAAGTAGTGTTGTTAACTCATCAATCCAAAATCATCGGCGGGAAATTTTATTAATATATCATGTGTAGGTTTGTTCATCATTTTTATTTTTTTTTTGGCACAAAAAGGTACTGAACGTTACCATATTTCAGGTACAGCATTTTTATTTTTGATATATATAAGAATGATTACAATCGTCATGGAATCGAAGTATTGAAAAATTGGTGATTAAAATTCAGATTATAATTTAAGTGAAAGTTAATAACTAATTTCAACCATACATTTTATGAATCCCGCAACTTTTCAACAACTTCAACCGAGATCATATCAACAAAATCTAAGTATTTGCAACAAAATGGTATGAGGATTCCAAATGTGTCTGCATTGCACATTACAAAAACATGTTAGAAAAACACTATTTTTCTAAATTAATATTGGCAACATATTAATACAATTATATTAGCTATTTAATATAATGGGCAAAAATCAAGTGGTCTATTTTTTGTATGCCCATAGACTACTCAAATTAATATGGACTAAGTAAGTAGATACCGGCTAATATTACTCTAATTAAGGGATAATGGGAACCTTAATTAAGTAGTATATAAATGTTATTTTGGTTATGGTCCCCAATATACCAAATCATACACTCTTTTCCCTTCTCCCCAGCAAGAAGAGAAATCACGATCCCATTGAAGAATAAGGAGATTTGGCTGAGGAAGATCACAAAACCACCCTCTTCATTTGCATTCATCGGTACGTAGTCGATTGTCGCAGTAATTCCACAACAGTAGGCAACCGTTTACAATTGATACATGTATATTATCTGAATCTGTGAATCCTAGTAATTTAGCATGATGTTGATCCTAGGATTTAATTTATATTTGGAT